GCTACAAATTATTAATTTTTTTTGTATACTCTTAATGTAGCATACATTTGTTTTTTATGTGAGTTGCTGGAAACAACTTTTGTACAAAGACAGACTGGGTTATTAAAAATTGCTGGAAATCAAATTGTTTTTTGCCCCCCCCCCCATCCGATTAATCGATTAATCGAAAAAGTAATCGACAGATTAATCGATTATCAAAATAATCGTTAGTTGCAGCCCTAAATCCAGATTGAAACACAACTGAATGTGAACCATGCAAGCAATTCCCTTCCCCCTCCCAGCTGGCAAAATTTTACATATTCGGCAAATTTTATCGTGAAAAACATTTAAAATGCTGTCCCCGATTAGCAGGTGCCTTGGCTATGTGTTGCTAATTGAATTTGGCCCACAGGGAAAAATACTTGAGTAGCCTTGAACTACACTATGTGCAGCCAATCATCTCACTGTGATTTCAGCAGCTCACTCCACCTACTTACCACCAGGTCTGTAGACAACATCATCCTCCGTGATGAAAGAGGTGATCTCCCCATTCTCTGTACGCTCATAGCGGGACTTCTTCTTGGGTAGCTTCTTCTTGCCCTTCTTGGCCAGCTCCTCGGTGGCAGCGGCGGTGGCGGCAGCATCGTCGTCATCCTCACTGTGTTCACTCTCAGCATAGTTGCGTGCTCCCCCCTCCAATGTACAGCTACGCCGTGGCCGCACGCTCTCACCCTCGCGGGCCTTGTCCCGTCGCTCACGCTCCCTGTCCTTATCAGCCGTCATGATCCGCCAGGTGCCTTCCTCTCTCCTCTCACGGTTCGGCTTCCGTGAAAGGTAGACCGTAAGTCTGGGCTTCAGTCTTCTGAATGGAACGCTCAAGTCCAGAGAGAATTTAGCCACACCAGCAACCCAAGAGCTTCACAAGAGCTACGGGACAGAGAGAGATAGAGTTAGTTTAAATTTACACTGATTGCATACTTGTTTCCTTTGAAAACATTCTTTGGTCTGGCACAGATTTTAGATCACTTAGGTGTGAAAGCTACTGCAAATTTAGGTGTACACCCGACAAAGAGTCAACTCTTTCCATTTCAAAAAGTAAATTCATGTATATTTGACAAAAGGTGATGTATAACTACAACTAGAGATGGGCGATCCACGTTTTTTCAGTTCCGATCCGATTTCGATACACAACTGCCGATACCGATACAGATTCCGATACAAGAGCTCTTTTTACTTTGTTATACTTTACATATTATTTTTTTTAAGCTAGTAAATACAGATGGAAAAAATGTATGACAAAAAATATTTAATTAGGCTACTACAAACATACGTAACGTACTGTTCCACCTCATTTGTTTTAAGCGTTTTTGAGGCATTTGCAGTTCAATATGAATATCTTCAAAGCAAATATACACAAGTGGCGAATGCTTAAAATTTTAACAGTTTTTCTCCCATTGGCATCAGCGCAGTTACACTTTTGTTGCGATGGCAGCCCCTCTTGTATCTCAAGCAACGAGTTCGCAAAACAGTCCAATTAAGTTAGCGACTCCCAAATCATCCATTGCTTTGTTTTGTCTCGCAGTTGCGTGCGCTTTGTTAAATGGGATTTTCCATTAAACGCTATTCCCACCTCAAAACCTTATTTTACATAGATTGCAAAACGCTGTGCTTCCGATTTCTGTTAAAAGCCTAAAATACTCCCAGATCGTCACGTCTTATCTTACGCTCCTCGTACTGCGAAGGGTATGCGCATGACCTCACAGCAGGCGGAAGTCACTGTACTCACACCCACTGAGTAGCAAAAAAGACTTAGGGGCAGTGATAGCGTTCGATTTGAATTCCGCAAAACCACACATGTAAAATGGGAAAGAGCTGTCGTGCGATTGATTGCCAAAAACTAAATAAGTAAGTATAGGACGTGGATCGGTCACGCATGGCCGATTCCCGATCCGTCAAATAGGTCTGGATCGGCGCCGATACCGATCCGAATATCGGTATCGGTGCATCTCTAACTACAACCATAAAAATAATATTCACAAATAGACACGGTAAACAATTTTCATCCCAAAATATGCACATGAATGGATACCTGACGATTGACTGATCATTTTAAAGCATATCAAACTAAAATGATGTATTTTTTTCAAGAAAACGTTAAGAAGGGATGTCCATCCAGTGTAAGCCACATGCTTATTATCTGTGCAGTTTATTTGATGCCTACGTACATAAACATGAATCAACAGAGTGTATACATTTACACACACATCCCGGGAAAACAGCACACCGCACCAACAGAAGGAGACATTTAGTCCTATTAATCTAAATATGCTGTTCTCCATAACTGAAACCCCAGCTCAGGAAAATCTTCAATCTGGTCACTGCCTCATTGGCATGGAATATAGATCAGCAGCTTCCAATTCACACCTTGCAGTCAGCCATTAGCTAACAGCAGCACTAACTGCCAGCTACCATTTCCATCTCCCCTGCAGAGCCCTACTGCAAGCCACTCTATCAAACCTCAGTGGCTGCTAACCATACAAAATTTGTTCTTCCCTGGAGGTTAAAACTAACCCAGTCCTCCATAAGCCTTATGGCTGAAATTCTCCCCAACCATCAGGACCAGGTGACACTGGGTAGTTTCAAAGCCTGTGTTTTCATCTCCACTGTTTTTTCTGCATTGGCTTATGTCTCAATAAATCTTGCTTCCAGTTTGTGTGTTTTGAGTTTCACTTCTACCACAGAAGACCAATGAACACAGAGGAAAATACTCAGGCACCACAACACATCTTCATTCAAGTACAACATATGGTCAAGCACAATGGAGTCATACATCACCCTAACTGGCCCATTTCACTGCAATCAGCAAACAATGAACTGTACAGAAATTCACTGAGGTTGAACAAACAAAAACAAACCCACACCCCAGTGCTAAGTAATGTGATGGGGTTTAAACTGGAGGTGCACCAATCCAACATTTGGGATCGGTATCAGCACCAATCCATACCTAACTAGATGGATCTGGTATCAGCCATATGTGACCGATCCATGCCCGACATTTGTTTAGTTTTCGGCAGTCTGGAGATAGATAGCTTCATGTTCATTTCATGTTAAATTAATTTGCACAATCAATTGCATGACAACTCTTTCCCATTTTGGATGTGTTTTTGTGGCATTCAAGCTGAATGCTAATGCTGCCACTCAGTGGGTGCGAGCGCAGTGACATCTGCTTGCTGTGATGTCATGTGCATACCCTTTGCAGTAGGAGGAGTCTAAGAACATCAGATAAGAGGGAGACAATCCTGCAAGTATTTTATGCTTGAGACAAGAATTAGTATTGAGTGGTGGAAGTAGGGTTTACTGGAAAATCCCACTAAACAAAGCACACGCAATTGTGCAAGATAACTTGAGTAATATGAAAAAAGCAATGGATGATTTGGGAGTCACTAGCTTGGGCGGTTTTGCACACTCACTACAGCTTGAGATATACAAGGCTACTACAAACATACGTAACGTACATATTCCAAAAATATTATATAAAAACTTTAAACTGCATCAGGCCCTGGAGCACCCCTCCAACTTGCATGGGGAAAAAAAGGGGGTTGGTGTAAGTATTGGCACTCCAGCCACTGTAAAAACTTCAAACAACTCCAACAAAAAAGACAGGACACTATCTGCTCATCCGTAGGAGAATCGAAAGTGGCAGAGTCAACAGGGTTTGGTCTGTTGGGGACTGGAACTGGTGTAGTGCTGAGGTGTTGCCCGCTGTATGGCAGCACTTGGGTCCCAATCTGGCTCATTCGGGTAGGCGCGTGGAATGTCTTGTTCCTCTGGTAAGATGACCATCTTCCTCTGCTGTCAGAGAAGATTCATAAACCCCACATTCCACAGCCAGCACTCTTGGTGGTACACAAACTGGGGAGTGGCCAGATCTATGAAGGTGGGAACAGCTACTATTGGTCTGGTCACTCTGATGGCTGCCATACTCAGGGAGTAGCTGTTACTGTGACTCCTTCCCAACGGTGTCCAATGTCACTCCTTTCAACAAGCGTATTATGAGACTCAGGCTAAGGCACTCTCTTGGTGTCTTGTCTGTTGTCTCAGTGTATGCTCTGACCACAGTGAGGGAGACATTTTATTTGCAAATTCACTCGGTGGTTGATGGGTGCCCATTAGGTGACACTCCACTGGTTGAGTGACTTCAATGTGACCACTGGAAATGACAGGGCTAGTTATGAGGACTGTGTCGGTCCACTGGGGTAAAAGTGGCACCATGTTCCTTAATTTTGCGAAATGTTAGAGGCTTTGGGTTACTGAATCCTGATTTCAGCACCCTGAGCCGCATTGTTGGACATAGTACTACAATACTGGTGGTATAGTGAAGGAGATCAGTCACATCTTGATGGGCAGACAATGGAGATTTCAACAGAAATGCAGGGTCTACAGAAGTGCCCAGTTTGTGAATTCTGACCACACATTTCTTGTTGCTACTCTGAAGATTCAGATTATGTCCAGTAGGTTAACATCTATTAGGAGAATGAGGGTGGACCTGGCTAGACTCCAAGATCAGGCTAATAAGTCTGCATGCAGTTTGTGTGAGAAACTTAAAGACTTGGGTACAACTCCTGACTCCAATGTGATGTGGGAGATCACCCGTGGCAAGACGCTGAAGGTTGCTGTGGGTTGGGTTGGTGTTGCTAGGGCTCCCAGAAGGAGGTGTTTTATCTCGGAAGGCACCCTGGATATTATTGAGACAAGTCACAGTGCATGACTTGATGGCAACTCCATTCTGTACCGGGAACTGTGCAGGATGGCTACAAGGGCTCTGAGGGCAGATAAGGATGCGTTTGTTAGACGAATCTGTGAGCAGGTGACACACCATCTGTGGTCTAGTGACCCATGTCCAGTTTACAGAGGAATCAAAGCATTATGCACATCCAAATCCATTCCTTGGATAGCTGCAGTCAGGGCAGGTGATACAATGATGCTTATGGATGACACTGCAGTTGTGACCCGCTGGGCCAGTTACTTTGAACAGCTGTTTAAGACTGATCCTCCTGCTAGAATGTTGGACATCTCTGGGTCCACAGAGGCTGATGCTCCTATTAGCTGTGAACCACCCAATCACTCTAAGACTGGATCGATGGTGAACCACCTGGGGGTAGGGAAGGCCACAGGGATATCTGTGGTATCCAGGGTGAACTTCTCCAGGCTGGTGGTAAGGCTGTCTTCCTGGCACTGCAAGCAATCTTCGCTTCCATTTGGGAGGCAGGCGTCATCCCAACTGACTGGAAAATAGGACTAGTTATCCCTATCTGGAAAGGGAGGGGTGATCACCTAAATTGTGATAACCCTTGCTCATAGTGCGGGGTAAGTTCCTTGCTAGGGTGATCCTCAAAAGGATTTGCGATCACTTGCTCTTCTACCTCTCTACAACTGGTGCAGTCTGGTTTTACACCTAAGAAGTGTATCATCATCAATCATTATCATGAATATCGGCACAGTTTCTTTGCAGCCATTGTCAATTTTCATAAGGCATTCGAATTAGTTGATTGTGCTCCCCTGTGGGACATCTGGAGACGTCATGACCAACCTGTACACTGGTATTGTGAGTGAGGGGCAGAGTGGATGCAGAACCTCAGCGTTCTTCCCAGTTGATTCTGGAGTTCATCAGGGGTGTGTTCTTGCTCCTACTCTATTCATTGCTTACATGTACTGGGTGCTGAACAGGGTCGTAGGGTCCCGAGGCTGTAGTGCATTTGTTGGTGAAGAAATTTTCACTGATCTTGACTTTGTCGACAATGTCATGATCGTCAATGAAGGCTCTGACTGGGGCTCTCGAGAGACTGAGTGAGGAGTCTGAGTGTCTGGGCTTGCGAGCGGTTTGGATAAAAACCAAGGTCCAGGCCTTTAATGACCTACTGGGCACA